TATATATATATATATATATGTAAGTAGATGTATAGGTAGATTAGATATTAAATATTATTCCTGTATTTCTTGGGGGGTACTACATTACTTAAAATAAATGTTTTATCACAGGTAGTGGAAACTATAAATGATTCACGTTCCAAATCAAGCGGAGTGGTTCGATCGGGGTTATCCGAGCGTAAAACTGCGCCGGAGAACGATTCAGGTTCGCCTTATGAAAATGGAAAGTACCACGATTCCATGAACGAACTGGAAGAAAACGTTCGAAACGTTATCGACGGTGATAAACGTTCAGTTCTCGAATCTAAAGACATGCACGAATCTTTCGTAGAGCCTATGGATCGAATAGATGATTTTGACGATGACATTAAAGTTAGATTAGGAAGGGGTTTGAAAACAATCGATGATAATTATTTCATAAATGTTACTATCAACAATTATACTAATAAAATTATTTTACTTAACGAATATTCAACGACAACGATCAAAACTACAAATATTTCAACGAAATACGAAATAACAAATCATTTCTATTCGTCTTCGTCATCGTCGTCGTCATCTGATGTAGAAAATGATAATTCAAACCTTACTGTGAAAGAACAAATGGAAGAAATAAATAATAAAAAGATTGGAAATAATTCGAATGTAAATAGTATCGATAGGAATTCGAGTAGATTCAATTTGACGTTTAAATCACAAGCATCGGCCAATAGAAATGCATCGAGAATTAAACGAGATGGAAATTCTTACTCGTTAAATTACAACCAAGGAAAAAATCCTTACAAAACCTATTACTATAAACGTTCGAAAGATTTATCGAATGATCTTTACACGATTAATCCTTATCAATACAAAGATAATAAAGATACCGAATTAAAATACAACAACGATATTAATGATCTTTATAACGAAGAAAATAAAGAAGATATTTCTAAGGATACAAATAATCACGATCGTAATAGAAAGAGAAAGAAAAAAAGGAGGAATAGGATGCATAAAAAGAAGAAGAAAAAGAAGAAGAGAAAGAAGAAGAAAAATCAAAAGAAGAAGAAGAAGAAGAAGAAAAATAGTAATTGGAAAGTGTCGAAAAAACGTGCGAGAAATTTGAACAACGAATTCGACGATTTATTCAGTGATTCAATCAAAAGTAAGAGGAAACGTTTGAAAAATAATCCTATCACGAGTTATCGTAATAACGATTGGAAAGATAGAGTTAAGAAGTGGCAACAACAACACGAGAAGAGAAGGAATAAGATGAAAATGAACAAAATGAAAAAGAACAAGAATGAAAAGAAGAGAAAAGAAATGGAGAAAATGAAAATGATGATTAATCGTGGAACTGTTAAAGGAATTAGAAGAAATTCTAATAACGATGGCATCATTCAAAAGGATAATGCGAACGATCGAAACGTTAGTTCCAATAAAATAATAAATAATTATGACAAGATTGTTCCCTTCTGATAGTTTTCAAATAAAATATTAATCAATTTTTTATTTACCCAATTCGAAATGTCAAATATTTCACAACTGAGTTTAATTTCGTTAATAAATATAGATGACAATTGTTAAGTATCAGTATCATTCGCTTAATATAACATAAGTTAATCATTTGAAGATTTTTGTAAATAATTTTCTTGTCTCTCATAGATAATCTAGAATTTCCAATTTTTTTTTATTAATAATAATCAAAMCAGTAATAGTTTCATTTCTATACAAAGTATTTCACTATTTACGAACGAATGAAGAGATTAAAATAAAAAAATGTTTCAATAATAGTAGGAAATAAAAATAAAAAGAGAGAGAGAGAGTGGGAGAGAGAGAGAGAGAGAGAGATGATAGTGAGGATATTGTTTATTCATTTTTGGATAAAGATGGTGCGATAAATAACGAGCGATGAATATACAGACAATGAGAAAGAAGGAGACGGAGAATGAGGATACTCGTAGAAAGAAGCTTGCTATGCTCCTGACAGCTGACAACATGGAAGATGAATCTCAAATGGATTTGGCTCTTCATGGAGAATTGGCTGGAAAAATCGTCGAAAATATTTTTGAACAAGTAAGAGAACCGAGGATAAACTTTCTCACTTTCTCTCTCATTTTCTTTCTCCCTCTCTCTCTCTCTCTCTCTCTCTTTCTCTCTTTCTCTTTCTCTCACTTTGATAGATGGCAATGAGAAGCAACGTGGCGAGTGGTTAAACGAAAGCGAAAGTATTATCGATCATTTGCATCGTAGGTGCAAAGGAACGAGGCCCTTAAAGTTGCTCTTGGTCTGGGACTTTATAGAAATAACAAACACGAAGATGAAATTGAAACTAATCAGATTTATCATCGGGGACTCAATGAAAATGACGTATGTCAATAGTATAATTTTTCTTGATGGGGGTAGATATAATTGATAAATAATTGTTATTAAAAACACTTGATATATATTGTAATTTAGTATACTGTAATATTGTATCAGAATAGAATACAGTATATTCATAAGTTGAAAATATTTGATAGAAATCTTTGATAAATTTCTTCCAATTAAAGTTCTTAATAACTGGATCGATTATTCTTTTTGTAATCAGATAAAACATACCGAGAAGACGATGAAGAAAATTATGGAACTTCTTGGTCGACTAGTTTTGGATGAGGTCCAAAGTAAAACTTGTGCAAAAATACCAGCTGACATGCAACAATTCTTAGAATGGATGTTACAAGTTAAAGGAGAGAAAGAATT